TCTTTATAAAAAATTATATTATTAAACCTAAATTAAATTTCTTTGTTACTAAAACTAAATTAAATTATAATTAAAAAAAATTAATTAAGGATATTACACCAAAACACAAGAACTTTTAAAAAGAGTAATTTAATACTGATATCGATATTTTTTTTTTCAAAATTTTATGATGTTTTTAAATTTATATTTTATTCAAAAATAAAAACATTATCACTTTACAAAAACGTTTAGAAAATTTTTTTCTATATAAAACCCAAAGCCCGATCCATTGACAATTAAAACGAATATACGCAAACCATATGGTGTTTAAAATATGTACCTTGTGGTTGAAATTGAAACTTTGATGTAGCACTAATAAACCAAATCAAGTTTCCTCTATCGGTCGTTCACACACGAACACGCTTGGAACTCCCACCGGATGCTAGCCCAAAGAATCCTAATTCTATAATTGTATCGTAAGAGTTTTGAAGCTACAACTAGTTATCAGAACTCAATCCTTTACTTTGGTTTAGCCCCTAAGCCTTATTTATATGGTCAGTCTTCGAGATTGACCATAACTCTTAATAAGGATTAATCATTATCTAAAATCATTATTTATTTATCTAATAATATCTTATATAATTAACTAAAAACATTTAAGATAATTATATACATATTTATAGATTAAACCATGTAATTATAATAATCACAAAACAGTACACATGTTTAGATTCTTTCTTTAGTGGAAGCATTTGTGTTCTTTGTGTGCGACCCTTTATGTTTACATGGCTCGTTGGCAGTGTATCTGGGTGACACGTGTCGTGTGTATAACATACAACTTATAACCCTCAAACAAATGGCTTAGCAGAACTTTCAAATAGGGAGATCAAGAGTATCTTAGAAAAAACGGTAAAACCAATAAGGTAGGATTGGACCTTCAAACTTGATGATGTTCTTTTGGCCTATATGACTGCATAAAACCCCCCATTGGAATGTCTCTATACAAGCTAGTCTTCGGGAAAGCTTGTCATTTATCACTAGAACTTGAGCACAAAGCTTTTTGGGCTTTGAAAGAGCTAAATATGTGTATGAATGTTGCAGGTGAAAGAAGAAAGCTACAAATCAATGAGCTTGAAGAGCTAAGGGATCAAACATATGAGAATGCCTAGATTTACAAAGACAACCAAAAATGGCATGATAAGAGGATCTTTTAAAGAGACTTCGTAGCTGGTCAAAAGGTATTACTCTTCAAGTTGTTGAAACTTTTTCTAGGAAAACTAAGATCCAAGTGGACAGGGCCATTTGAAGTTCACAAAATCCATCATCATGGAGTAGTGGAACTGTTGATCATCTCTTTCAGTGATTTGATGATAATCCCTTTTTCCTTTCACGTTGTATTTGTGTTTCTGTATTTTCAGTTCCAGCGATCATCACTGAGTATGTTCAGTGATCGCTGAAGAACTTGCATTGTAAATCTATCAAAGACAGCAATACTTCAAGAAGACAATACTCACACCAAAGATCCTTCAGCGAATGTCGAAGACTGAAACTGAAGATTAGAGACTGGCGAGTACATGATCTGAAGCGGTATTTAGTGATTACAAGCCTGTCTAGATATGTGTGAAGACTGCTCTAGCTTCAGTGAATGATGATGAGACCTCCAGGTCATTCCATCATTCAGCGATCAAAGGAAGCTTGCTTAGCACGATTGTTGTTGTTTTGTCCTTATGCACACAAAGGACAAACCCATACCCTTACAAAAGTTAGTACGGTAATGAGCCGATTAGTCGAATCTTTGTCCACCAACTTTAGGCAAGGATGTCTGCTCAGAAATAGTGCTTTTGTACTATTCACTATAGCAAAGTACAAGCCTTCCTCTTAAGGCTTGACACACACTCTAAACCTACCATATTGCATTAAAT